AAAAAGATTGGCAATTTTTTTAGACTCTAAATAATTTATTTAGTCAGATTGAAATAAAAGTGAATTTTTTTAATTTTATTAAAATCACAGAATATCCTAGAAATTCGATGTTAGGCGGCATTTATTTTCATTCAACTTAATTAAAATTTGATAAATATTCTCCTGCCTCTTTTCCTAATTAATTTTAATGATTTTTTTATTTAAACTTATATTTTCAAGAGTCCATATTAAATAGTTTATTACAACTTCAAACTCTGAAATCGTGAAATTCTACAACAAAATTAAAAATCTGTATTCCAAATTCCAATTTATTGCCGGCAGGAAATTGAAAAAATATAATTATGGTTTTGAATTATTTAGCAATTATTGTAGAATCGCTTTTTATTCCTGCTAGAACGTTTTTAAACAATTCTGAATTATTTGTAAAAAAAAAATCTCAAGGAGCAATGGAGCCCATCTCTGCTGCGCTAGACCGCTGTGCATCTCACAAAAAAGCTGATCTCGGTGGGGCGGCCGGAGGGAATTTTAGAAGCTTCGATCGCGGATGGGTGTGGGAATAGGCGATTAAAAAATAGACGCGGCGGCGGCGGCGCGAGGGGAGGCAGAATTTTTATTCGTAGGCCGGTTTTAATTTTTTTCCGCCGCGATCTGGGGGAGGGGGGCGGGGCCACGTGTAAATAATTCACGTCGCGGAAAGGGTTAGCGTGATACACTTTTATATAAACAGGGGACCGGCCGCGTTTTCTCTCTCCGCTCTCTCGCATTGTGCGGGAACGAGAAGAAAAAACACGCCTGCCTCTCTCTCACTCGCTCATAGACAGACCGCTATTTAAAAAAACGCGCATAGAAAATAAAATGGCTGCTGCCCTCGTGGGAAGGAAAATGATGAAGCATCCTAGCTTTTTTCTTGCCTCTACGCGTATATCAACGGCGATTGCTCTGATCCAGTGCTGATTATGATTAAACCTCTTGAGTGTAATATGAATCAATATGATACTGTATAAAAAAATCGGAGAGGAAGAATTCAAAATTGAAATATTTAATTATAAGCAGTGGAATCTTTTTCTAAATTTTAGATCCTATCTATAAAGTAATTAATTGAAAAGAAAATATAAATATTGTTTCATTCAGAATATTAATAGGAGATAAAATCTTTGAGGCACAACTAAGCATAAAATTTTAGTTACAAAGGAAATTTCATTGGGTTCATGGACGGGGCAACTTTGCCCAATCCAAATTAATAATTACAAGAAACAAAAATAAAACGTGATAAATTATTGTTAGCGTTCGAAATTTAATAATGAATGGATCGTAGCAATTAAAAGAAATATTGAACCACATTTTGACATTGAGATTCGAATTTCTTAACAATGTACTTACTTAATGCCATATGTCTGACAGCATTATAAAATTTTTAGCTACCACATAAAAACAAAGGATTTAAAAAAAATTCATGAAATTTTCTAAATACATAAAAAAATTAAATTATAGGTGTTAAATTAAAAATTATAATATAATAACAAATCATAATAAAATATTTATTATTATTTTTAAATCTCGTAAAATTTAGAAAAGAAATTTTATAAAAATTTTATTAGCAAACTTTAATTATAGTTACTTTATAAACGCCACAAAACGGAGAAAATTTATTAAAAAAAAAAAAAACTGGCAAAATCGCAGTTATTTATTTTCAAAAATAACGATGTGTTTTATTATTGTCTTTTATTTTTGGTCCCGTGACCTGGTATAAAGATATAATCATGTGTGCAACTGTGTGCAACCATCAAAATATTAACGTATTTTGCAAGTTAATATAAAATTTATTTTATTAAATCTTATTTTGCTACTTCACCTGATAGTGTGATTCTTATTCCATTTATTTTGGCCACGTTGGATTTTCAATTGAAATTGAAAAATTGGCATTTTTTTCCAAAGCCATAATTTTATTAGAAAAAAAGGGGAAAAACATGAAATAAGTCCACAAATTTCATGTTACAACAAAATATATTAGAGCTCTCATAAAATCATTCATTCATTTTCAGATTCCTTGCACAAATAAAGGAGCTTAATAATATTTTTATAGCTTTTATTATTAGCCCTTTTCAGTCTTGATGCAATTTTATAATAAATACTAGCTTGGAAAGTCTAAAATCATCGATTTAAATAAGTTAAAATTACAATCCCTTTAAGATAGAGCTAATTTCATATGCAAAATACATTTATAAACAAAAGTGCAACGAATTTCTCGCGTCTCTCCCCTGGGATGCAGGCAGCCGCACGTTAATTATTTTCACAAGCGAGACTTTCTTTGAAGTATTAAATAGAATCGTAAAATGCCACCCGCGCCCTCGTCTCGCTGCTTCTTGAAAAGTGCTTTTCTCTTCTTAATTTCAGGAGGAGCGGCGGCTGCGTAAAATTTTCAAAGAACGAGACATTATAAAACATAACAAGCAGGCGCGGCGAATAATTCGGCGCCGTGATTAGTGCGCGCGTCAAAATTGGCACTTGAAAAACTTGAAGGCGGCTTTCGAGAGATAATTCACCGAGATTAGGGGTGGGTTTGAGCAGAGGAAGCGGCGAGCGTTTTGGTTCTGGGGATGCAGACAGGGGCTAACACCCTAAATCATGCATGGGTCACGTTCCGCCCTTCACTCTCGGCTGCTGCCCGGCCGAGCGCGCGGTCAGCGCCGTGACCCTCTCGTCGCCTCAACCCCCGCCTAAATCTTCTCGTTCGCTTCCCCTGCGCTTTCGGAATTTTTATTCACACCTGCGACACCAACGAAAACCTCAAAAGCTATAAACACAGGAAATAAAACAAGACTTTCCTGTTCCAAAGCTTAAAAAGAATAATTTTTTTGGAGCCAAAATTCCCTTGAACCCTTTTTTACATTTACAGATGATTTTGAATGGAATAAACGACGAGAGAGTAACAAAATAGTTATGTGAAAAAAATACAAAATTGTATTATAATCTGTGAACAAAACCAACCAGAAAGAATTGTGTTTGTTATATAATTTGATAATGCAAAACGTGCACAAGGAATCAAACAAGAGAAATTTCCAATATGTTCAATATTGCAATGCTTGAAAGTGATGAAGGAAATTTCAGATAAAAATTATAAAAACCTGTGCAATGTAGTCTGGTTTGAATTAATCTTATATTTCATTAAACTTTTTTTGCACAACGATACGAATTCAAGAGATAAATTTATTTTATAAGTTGATAGTTTTTCATTTTCATTCACTAAATCTTACAGGTTGACTAAAATTAAATTCTTACAAGTTATGGTTTTGAGATGAGAGACAATCCGATAATTTAGATGAAAATTAATTAGTTTGCAACTAATTTTATTTGGAACAGCACTTAATTTTTGCTCATTTGCCCTGGAATGTTCATACAAAATTTCAAATTGTAAAATAAGAAACAAAATCGTCCTTTATGTGAATATTTCATCTACTTTATACACTTTCAATGTAATTTAAATTAAATAAATCTTATGCATAGCAAAATTTGAAGAATAAAAAATGATCAAAAATTATTAGCCGCTCTACCTCTAAGGATAATTGGAGATGCACACCAATTTTCATCAAAACCTGAATGTCTAGCTCATCTCAAACACAGCTTCTTATTGTTAGAAACATTGAAATTATTCTGGCGTTACAAATATGAAATAAAGACTTTTAATTTCAAGCAAGAAGATTTAATTGCATGAGAATATCCGACATTATTGCACGTTATTCTAATTAATGGACAAAATAAACTCGGTTAAGCTAATTAATTTTAATTTCTGACATAATTAAACCTGCGCTGTGATAAATTATTGAAAGTCGGCAGTAAAAAGTTAATACTGCGCGCTGAATTACCTGCGCCGTCTCGGAAACAGAATGTTGATCGGGGGCGACTCTGCACTTGGTGCCACTTGAACATTTATTAATTATGTATTTGAAATGGGAATGAGAGAGAGAGAGAGGGCGGGTGTGGGTGTCGCCTGACAGACGGCAAAGCTGCTGCCGCCGCATGATGCTGCCAGATTAGAATTGAGCGCGTAGCAAGATTTATTGATCCGCTGGAGCAAAATGAGCGGTGGATAAACGTCGATGCCCATTACTTTGAATGATTGATGCGAATTGCATAGATGATATAACGTTCGCCACGACGAACTTGAAAGCTCAGTGTCGAAAAAATAGAAAAACCAAATCAATCGGTAACAATAACTTGATATATAAAAAGAATTAAATAAATAATGAATCTCTTGGGAGAGAAATATGCGGAAAAATGTTAATAATACAAGCAAAATGAGAGTTAGGCAAAATATAGACACGATAGATGCACGGGTTGCATAACAACAACCAGAGAAGGGGCGCCAGAAATTATTTTCTGAATTTGGTATCCGCCAAAGACTTGAAACAGTAAAAATTATCTTGTATTTTTAGTTCTTAAATTAAATGAAAATTTCATGACGAATGTTGAAATTGCAAGCAAAATTTCGCACCCCTTAGATTTCAAAACCACAGGTTTCTTTCAGAAGCATTTGAACCTCTGAATTAGAGAATATTGCCAAAAATGATTTGATTTAGCAATTGAGATTCAACTAATTAGAAGGAAAAAGTTGAACAGAAGGGATCACAGATTTTTGTATATCAAAACTTTGACGCGTCGGTCGTGAAATTTTGTTTTCTTTCAAAAATATTTACGTTTTTTAGTCTTCAATATTAACTATTTGAGAATATATCCAAACTTTTCTGAAATGGCCTGAATCCTTGTAGATTTTTTTTGCACTTTGTTTTTTTGTATTTTGTCTAACATTGGTCCTGATTTTTGCAATAAAACTGTTTTTCTTGTCACACCTAAATGTTTTTTGTGGTAAAAAATTAGCAAACCGATAGATTTAAATTGAACAATTTGTGTGGAGTTTTGTATATGTTTGACTTTTGTGTTTAGAATGACAAAAACTGTGTTGGTCGAGAAAGACTGATGTTCTGATTTTGTGTGCTGTCCAGGTGGACTTGCGAGAGAGAGCGCGCGACGGCACCGATTTCCCCCGTTCCCTGAGACCCTAACTTGTGACGAGGTTTCATCTCACAGGCTAGAATCTCAGGTATGGGTGATTGAATAAATGCATCGGACGGACGCAGCAATCAAGAAGGTGGCGCCGGACGAGCCAGACTTTTTGAGCAGGAAGTCCAACGGTCCGGCTTGACAGCGAATATACATTTATCAGCAAGATTTTTTAAAGGACGTGCGGCGTCTGCCGTTCTCATTTTGGCAGTGAATTGCGACGACGAGAGACGTTTCCTGTTGCCGCAGACTCAAAGATTTTTCCACAAAAAAGTGACATTTTCAACTATGCGTGAATTGTAAAAAATAAAACTTTTAAAATATAATCCTGTTTTATGCATAAGAAACGAACAACATTTTGGCCAAATTGCTTCAAAAACATCAAAATATAGCATTAATAAATTTTTAAAGAATTTAAAAAATTGTATTTTATAGAAGACCTGTAACTTTAAGTTGGCATTTCCACCAAATTTAATTCATTTATATATTTTTATTTCTGAGCAATTTAAGCCAGTTTTTTTTCTTTTTGAGTATATCAATTTTTATGTACCAGCTAAGATTGAAGTGCCGAAAAAAGAAATAAAATTTCAAACAATTATTATTTATAAGTTTTTCTTCACGAATCATCAAAACAAAATATGAAGAAACAGTGACACCTTTGTTAAACATTCAATGTTGCTTTAAGAATAAATATGTACATCTTTTGGCAACATCATGCAATCGCGATTAGAAATGGCCCCTTTCTTTCACTTAAAATTAAAACTTTTCTTCATCCCTTTTAGGTTGGTTTCCGCATTTTTCTAATCTATAATATTTCTATAGCTCGTCGCTCGTCATGGTTATATTAATTTCCGACTATTTTTAGTATTTTTACTCAATATTCAGAAGCATTCACCGAGCCTTATTAACATTTCTCCGTAAAATCCATTTTAAATAGAAATCTAAAGAAGAAACTGCCGATTAGCCAAAACTAATTAATTTTTAGATGAGGGTTTTCATTTTTTTTTTAGTTAATTGTGCGTACGATTTTGAATAAAATAAAATATTTGTCCTGTATATGGTGTTCTAGATGTTTTTATACAAAAAATTATGAGTGTTAACTGACGTACGCTTTTATTAACTCAGACATTATTTCACTTTTAATGATGAATGATGATGTGAAAGTATTTTGTCCAATATAATATATAATAATTATTGTATATTAATAAGGAAGCAAGTTTTAGAATAAAAATTAATAATAATTTATTTTCATACTAAATTTATTAAATTAAAACATGTGAAAATACAATAAAATGACTTTACATTTACATTTATTTGTATTAAAAAAATTGTTTAAACTACAACTTTATATGACAAAAATTTAATGAAGTTAAGTAAACTTATTTTTATAATTTTTTTATGAAGTCAGTTTTTCATTGCTGCAAATTTTTATACATATAATATAATATGCTTCTTCGTCATTCATATGAGACAAATTTTCAACACGCCATATTTTTACGACAAAATTGAGCAATTTTAATTTATAATGTGTGTGTTGGCCTGGCGTGTTTCTTCGCAATAAATAATCGACTGAGTATCATAATGTATTGCAAAAATCTCCTCTGGCAAAGACAAAAACGAGGATGTGTTATAAAAATTTTCTTATAAATATGAAAATGATTCGATTCTGTTACAAGCCACCATGACTTAGAAGACATTGACTTATCAGCCAATGTCAAATAGAAAATGATAATGAACAACCACAATATTGTCAGTTTTAAAACGCATATTTAATCGAAGGGACAGAATAAAAAAGCTGATTAATTGTTTGAAATAAACTCTGTATCAAATGTAATTGAATCTTATTATACAAGCAGGAGTTCAGAGAAATTGTTGAGGATTCGTAATTAATTAAAAGTTGCGCCTGAACATTTTTCTTTCGTGTGGCGCGCAGAAGTGCGAACGCAGCCTTCGTTGATTGTGCACACGTGCGGCTAGAAAAGAAAATAAAAGGCGTGTGTGTATTGTTTTAGTTCAACTGCCCTCTGCGATATCTTATCTTTGCCGCGCAGATTGTAATCAAAGGAGCAGCAAAATTAGATCCTTATACACTAAGCACGTGTAAAACTTCTTCGGGCGTGACTCAAATTCAAAATCTTTTAATTGTGTGTGTTTATGATGTGCTCTTTCTAGGCTTTGTTTGACTTGAAGCACACATAATTGTGCATACATATATTTCTATTAAATAATTGAAATATTCTGAGTCATTAAATTAAAATTTAAATTAAATTGAATAATTGGTTTTGGTCAATTATTTTGACCAAAAAATTAAGAGAAGGATTAAGATAAAATGACCAACTAGATTAGTAAATATGCATTTAAAATAAAATATTAGCTCTTAAAATTATTTTATTATTTATTCTATTATTCTATAGCTCTATAGCATTGTTATTGGAGCTATGCTGGTTCAATAATATTGTGTGTTTGAAATTATTGAGTTTCTTCCATGAATGAAAATATGATTTTTTTATGTTACTCCGGTGGCCGCAGCAAATTGAAACACACAGACGATATTGTCAAACCAACTAGATAAATAAATATAATATATAATTTTGAAGAAACGAAATTAAATTTAAAGCATTATTATTGGAACTATGGTTCAGTAATATTGTGTGTTTTACAAAATAATAAGTGTTTATACCATGGCTGAAAAATCTCAAATCTGAATGCACTTGATTCGTAATTTAGAAAAGGAAAAGCGTAAAAGCCCAGAAAAACAAAAGGCCTCCAAAAATATAATTAAATAATAGAAATTCATGTTGCAGTCCTCAATATTACTAACAATAAAGTTATAAAAATATCGCAGAAACAAAAATGTATTTAACTAAGGTTTTAAGAAATAATAAAAGAAATAAAATAAATAAAATTCTTTTATGTGTATTACATTTTACAATGTTGTTAAGATTAATTTTTACAATTTTCACTGAATACAATTTTATATTTATTATAATATAATATTATTATCTTTTAATTTGCTTTTTTATTATTTCATCTCATTATTTCATCATTTAAATTTTTTTTATCGACATCATGTTTTGCTGTTTAAATTTATTTTTACAACCTTTTAATTTCATATTTATAAATAAAATATAATTTTCAGATTGATATGTTACAATTCAATTTTTCTAATGAATTATTTGTTTTTCGAACCTAATAGCTTCAAAGTTTTTTTCAAACTAAACTAATGGAAAAAAAAAATGAATTGACACGCATTAATCAGCAGGTTTTATAATTAAATAAAAGATAAAAATTTCGCCAAATATTATGGTATAAGTAGTTTTTATTCGTTTGTTTTTGCTTTCCTTTTTACAAACTAATAATCCTAATAATACATTATTGACAAAACACATCAAGTCGATGATTTTTCACAAGAACAAAAGGAGCCTTTTGATAAAACCAAATATGACAATTATTAACAAAGTTAACATTATATTTAAAGTAAAAAGTAAAAATGAGTTCAGAAAGTTTGAAAAAAAAAAATTGTACATTAAATCACATCCACGATAGCGATTCAAATTCCAGATTTTGGTGGTTATAAAAGTAGAGATTGCACCGTAACATAAGTAGGGCTCTATTTCAACAACAGATGGAAATAAAACATACAGGAACAAAAATTTTCTATTATTTTTATCACTCTCAAGAATATCTTTGCGGAAAAGTGCGTTTTATTTGTGACACATGATGATATTTTCGGAGAAATCGGATCCGATGTGGAGGTTGCACCAAATTTGCTCGCGGCGTGGGTGCTCGTGGGTCGGCAACTAGCGCGACGGGCACGAACTGATAACCCAGCAGGGCATCAGGCGGATCCGCCGTTTAATCAATAGCGGATGGCGCAGCCTAGAAAATTACACTATTTGCACCCGACTAGAGCGACCCGTGCAATTTGCGGAGGTGCGAAAGATAAAGATATGAAAACAATTTCTTGTCAAGGTATAAATAATTTATGGCCTGCAAACTTTTGCGGTTTTTGTGCGCTCCATTATTATTGTCAGAGTATTGGGGGCTTTAACGAGAAGTTTCAATAACATACTTAGAGATTCGCGGTTTCATATTATAGTGTTATTCGTGCTTTTAGTTTTGAATTCAATTTAGATAATTTCAGAGGTGCATTTAAATATAGTTTAGATAATTTGGTGCTGCAAGAGAGTTGATTGAGTTTTAAGTTTAATTATTTGGAAACCATTTAATTATTATTTTTTATTCTGAGAATTTTTTTTCTGTTTCTGTTGAATTTAATTCGTTTCAATTTAAATTGTATTTTAAGCAGGTCCATATATTACACATTAAGGGAATTCCGTTGAGTCTCTTGACTAACTATAACTTTGGGAATTTAGATTTTGAAGCTACCTAAAAATCCTAGACACATGGCAATGCGGTCAAATGGCTTTAATTAGATTAAAGAATTTTATTCTTTAGGAGTTACTTTTTAAGTTCAACCAAAACGATTAACGCATTTATTGAGTGAATAAAATTCGGGCTTGGGATAAATAGGTGATATTTGGTGAAATAATACAAATATGTGATATAAAAGATTTGGTGAAATTATGTCTGAATGCAGGTGAGATTTTAAGTGAATGATCACATAATAGGTGAAAATTGGTTGTTCATAAATAAAATGGTTCATTTTCATCAAGTAGATTATTTTAGGAGATTCTAAAACTTCAATTTTAACTAGTGAAAGGCATATCGGGACTTTTTTTTAAGTGCATTCCAGTAATTTTCGGACAAATAATATAATAATAAAAAGATCACCTATTTTTCCAATCCCTATAGAATGAGATTCTAGACTTTTGCAAATTCCTAGCTCTTCACCCAAAAGTTAATGAAATAAAAAAACTCCATTTTACAAAAATCATTATTAAATTAATATTTCCCTGACTTTCAAACTAAAGAAGTTACTTTGAACTAAATCTAATTTGAGGTGATTAAAAGATTCAAATTTTGGCAATTTCGTTATGATAAAAGATTGAACTGTTTTGAAAGTAAAATTTTCTATAGCCAATTTTCAAATCAAATTTTTGAGCACTTTTCTTCTCTTTTGAACTTCAGACTAAAATTACACACCAGCTGGCCGCACAAAGGAATAATTTAATTTGGGGGACGCGACGAGTAGGTCGGCCGATAAAAATTCAGAGGCCTACGCGGCCGTAAAATCAAACTGGCAGGCCAAGCCAGAGCCTGCGGGCTCGAGAACAAAAGTAGTTTTTATTATTTTTCCCCGGCTCTAAATTCATCTGCCAATCAATATAATGCCGTGTGCGCCTCTCGGGAATAAATTCATTAGCCGCGCCGAGCACACCAGACGAAAGCAAGCGCACACAAATTAAAATTTCCAACCCTAACGAACGAGAAAGGAACTCTCTCGAGCGCATTCAATTTCCATATAGGCCGTCTGGAGTTTTTTTCCCCGCTTATTCATGCACAGTCTGAAAAATTGGCTACTGCACATTCATTAAGTTGCAGATGGCGCGATTGCAATAATGACGACGCGAGAGAGGTTGTGCATTTTCGCCCGTTGGTCTGTGCGCAAATTTATGTATTTTATCCGTGGGAATGCGAGTTGCGAATTTTTGTGCCAACGGACCGGCGGCGGGAAAGGAGAAATTAATGAAAAATTAGACTCGTAACGGACCGACGCCGCCGCTGAGTGGCCGGCTGGACCTCAAACAGGCTCTCGTTAAAAATTTCTCAATTTTTAATTCCACTTGGGTTTGAACAGTGGCGGTTTTCAATGGCCCGGCCGTTACATTAGAATGACTGATGACGTTTTCATGCGGCTCTCTTTCACTTTGTCCGCGGGATCTGGTTTGGAGAGTGAGATTTTTTCCCGGAGACCAACATAAATTAATTTGATTGCTTGTACAACGTTTACTTTTTTCAATAATTAATAGCACAAAAAGCAGGGAGCGTTATTTTATAAATCCAAAAAGGAAAACTTAACATGGCAGCGCTCCTTGTCTTGAGACATCGATTACTTTTCAAAAACGCAAATCACGATCACAGCAAAACTTTGTAATGTACAACAACTTTTGTTAGTTCTTCTTTTGTACACAAAAATCATAAATTACAAGTTTATCTCATCAATTGCGACGCCAAGTCGAGTTCATTTTCTACAAAAGCTTTTTCAGGTTGATCTAAACACAAGGCTGGAAATATTTCGTTACAAATCTTCACAATAAGCCTTGAAGAAAGAAAGAATAAAAATCAAATTAAAACTGTAAATTAATAAATTAACACACAGAAACTTATATAAAATGATTATTTTGGTTAAAATTACTAAATATTGCTCACATTTACTGAAATGGCAAATGGATACTAATAATTGATTATTTTGTTCTGCAAGTAAATAAATATCCGTTAAAGACTTTACTTGAAAATTCATAAGTCTTACAAAACAAAGATGAATTTGTAAATTAAATTTACATAAAAAACATTTCCGAAGCCAAGATTTAGAAATACCTAGAAACTCTTCCGTTTATATTATTAAATATTTTAATTTCGCAAATGACTTGTGAAGATTAGGTTTTTTATATCTTAAGGCACGTGATTGGCACAAAATAGTTCTGCCGGTGATATCTAAGCAAAATATCACACATAGTTAATGGTAATAGCAATTTTAAGCTACTTGATTTTGATCGTTCCAATTACGAGATTCAGGGTGAAAAACAGCCCCAGCGGAGGTTATGAATGTCACGAGATGAAATATGGCCCTTAATTTATACACATATATAAATACACCCTATTGTACGACCTAATTACACTAACTTGTATGGCTATTTACGAGAAACTAGAATCATTTTGCAGGCCACTGATGGCACTGAAAAGGGCGCAGCTTTGTCTCTTGGCGGCCAAATCTTCCTCGGAAAAGATCGGCTCGCTCATCAGGGCGCCCAGGTCCTGGCACATTTTCTGGAAGGTTTCCGACAGCATCTCCTGGTAGTCCTGCTGTTCACTGGAGACTAGTTTGGCGTTCACGTGGAGAGCATCAGAGCAAACGCTGACAAACTCCCTATAAATTAAAATACGAATCCAAATTCAGCTCTGGGTTTTGCAATTTTTCTTGAATATGTAGGGATTTGAATTAATTTACCTGAAAACGTCTCGCAATTGCTCTAGATCGTCCTCAGGGTAGTCAGAATTCTTACTCGGGTCGAGGAATGCAGAGGCGTAAGCCATCGGTCCAGCATTGACTTGAACACAGACACTTCCCTGAAATTTTAGCAAAAACGTTTTCATTTCTCAGATTTTTTATTTTATAATTTTATTGAAATTAACCTTTTTTAAGGAAAAATATCATAGAAATTGAATATCGGTTATTTTTTTCTTTTAAATTTAAAATGATGCATTGTTAAAATATTTCTAATTATTATATTCCAGTTTATTTTGACTTGCCTGCAACAAAAGCTGCAGCCGTTTAGCATCCGGTGGGTTACAGTAAACAACCTCTTCCAAGTCTGAGAGCCGCTGCTTCATCTCATGCAGAGCCACAATAAGTGGATTTAATTCCATCACTTTCCTCTCGACCACAGGCAGTCGACGAACCAGGTAAGGGAAGGATTTCGAAGCTGCAGATGAAAATAAAGAATTTACAAAAATTACTAAAACTTGCATTTTAATTACTTGTCAAGATAGTCCTTCGCTTCCACTGCTCAGAGGGTCCACCCTGAGCAGGTCCGTTTTTAGTGAAGGGAGTGTCGAACATGAAGTGCTTCACATTGTGGTGGGTCCTTTCGAAAAGGGTGAGTTTGGAACCAAGTTCGCTTGGCTCCCAGTACGGTGTGACATGGGTGACGAGAACCCAACCACTGTCATCCTTCTTGTCACTGCCAGTGCGGTCCACGTCACACACAATCTTGACAGCGCCGGGTCCAAACTTGCTTGCAAACTGGTGAGTCAAGCGTTCGGAAAGCTCAGCCAGTGAGGTGACTTTTGGCTCTTTGTAGATGTACTCGACTCCCTGAGTGTTCTCGTCAAAACATGCCTAAAAAATTATTATATTGTAAAAATTATTTATAAAATTACATTTGCTAAATATTTATTAAAAAGGAAATATTATTTTGAAAACACGTATAATTTACAAACTCTATTAAATATGTTAATTTTTGAACTGCTTTAAAAATAAAAATTAGTGCAGTTACCTGTCCATAATAAGCAACTCTGTAATAGGTTCCGAGCAAACGTCGTCCAGATCTAGTTGCACACTCGGACGCTTTGGTGCAAGACTGAGCCAAATGTCTGAAGGCAGCAGCCATGGCGTTGTAGTCTCTCCTTCCTTCATACAAAGGAATGATGAGTCGGTAAAGAGGAACTTGCAGTTCGTAACGCTCGGCTCGTTCCAACAGATCTGAGCAATGGGTCAACTGCTCTGTCAGGGACACTTCCGTGTATTGAGTTTCAGCAGCCCCTGTTTCAAAAATCAAGCAATTAAGTAGTACAGTAAAATTATTATTACTGCATATTTGCCAATTAAGAAAAAAAAAATCAATTTTTAAAAGCACTCACCAGTGTCAACTTTGAGATTCTTTTCGTCTTCAGTGATGTTTGGAGATATTGCCGAGAATGCCTCGGCTCCCCAGCTTAAAAGGCCTTTCTGTTTCAGGTACTCGGCCTGAAGCGCCGCCATGTGAAGGTGGCAGAGAGCAGCTTCAGAGTACGAGTTGGCCTTTGAGTGGTTCCCTGCTAATGCTTGCAGCCAGGTCATCCTCAGTTCAGGTGTGCACGAATAAGAGTCCGCCAAGTTGAGTTGCAGCTCGTTGAGGACTTCTGGTTCGTGGTTGTGCTCCCTCATTTGAGCAGTGGCCATCAGGACATTTCTCATTCTTGTTGTCAAGGACCGAACTTCTTTTGGGAATCCTGAGAAATAAAAATGATAAAATACTAAGAGAGGGTTTATGTGAAAAAATTACGTGTTGTTTTCATTGCTTTATCACTGCTTGCAAAATTGTTTATCATCGAGAGAGACTCCTGCATTCTAGAGTTGTTTAAAACGTCCATGTTTCCAAGAAGCCGGGAAACTGATATCACAAGCTGAAATATAGATTTTGATAAAGATCCAATTTAATGGAATGTGGTCATGAAATTTACCTGCAGGTGCATGCGAGTTAATCCTTGGCGACCAGTGTATTCAAAGTTGCTTCTCATCAAAAGATAAATTATAGCACAAGACTCCTGCCTCGTTTTTGAAAGTTTCGAGTTGCAGCAGCGTAGCAGCTCAGAACACAGCAGTCCGCAGATTTTTGCGCTCCCTTGAAATAAATTAAATTAAACAAAATGCTATGAAATGAATTTTGAGTACCTTGAAATAGGACCGGAGAGAAATTGTTGACAAAAGCCCTGAGAGCAGCAAAGACGTGCATCAAAATGCTCTCGCACTGGCTCACTTGCAGAAAAGTGAGGTACATTTCAAAGATCTTTTCAGTTATCGGCGAGTCTTCTGCAGCAAGAATGGAATCTCGGCACTGCCTGCAGTACAGCCCAACGCAGTCAAGCACAACCAAGGCTATTTCCGCAGCCATGTTTGCTTCTAAAAGAGTCTGCTGGGATACTGTTCTGCTTAGTTTCCAACCTAGTAACAAATTTTTGTCAAGGACAGTAAATAAAACGGTCTTGTTTTTACTTTTTGTCTCGCTTATTGGACTAGGTTGGTCATCAATGAAACTTTGCTCGGAGGCTCCAAAGGCAGGCGCCTCCATACGGGCTGGCAGAGTGTTTGCTTTTCTGCTTTTGAACCCATTTGTGACTGGAATGGGAGCAGAGGCCAGGGATAATTTGCTGGACAATCCACCGCTCTGGTGCCTTTTTCCTTGGTATTGGAATTTCAAGAGACTCATACTAAAGAATTAAACAATTAGTGAAGGCTTGCATAAAATATGTTGAATTTACTGTAAGAGCTGGAAGAAACCAAGCAACTGAGATTGACTGCAATGTTGCCAGTATGCAACCAGGCACTGATCTCCGATGTGTTTTACCACAAACAGGTAGCAAAGTAGAATGTCTTGGGCCTCGGATGCTTGAAGCATGTCTCTGTGTCGTAAATTAGGCTGAGGGGAATTATTTAGCATCATCCTGTAAATTTAAAAATTCACATTAAGATTCAAGTTCCCAATATCATGAGGTTAAATATGAAACAAGTTAATTTTTGAAAAAAAATTTACCTTCCGATACTGCCTGGACCTTTGGCAATTGCTGTCTCTTGAGATATAGCAGAAGCTGCATCAATTGACATTGTTGAGTCATCAGACTCCAAACTGACATTAGATCCAGCAATGACAACACCTTGAAGTAAATTTGATTTAATTATTGCCTTTTTTTTAGTTTTTAAGAAATACCTTGACCAGCAATGGCAGAAAAGCCAACATTCTCCCTAGACTGTGCTCCGGAAAAGAAAGGCGATCCGCAAGAATCAAAGTGCAAAGTGTTTCGATTCGACCTGTCTCTAAATCCATTCTGCGGGCAACTGGCTGCCGAGAGGATGCTGCTGCTTCCACCCAAGTTGCTGTCAGCTATGCTCGAAGCCACGTTTGTTGATTTTGTACCAACTCTAGACCTGGAAAGGACAATGGGAAGTCTGTCCCTGTTGTCGATGGCGATTTCAAGCCATGGCAGGTACAACGACGCAATTCTGGCCAACTGACCCTAAAATCAGAAATTAAATTTCCAGTAATTGCAAATCAATGAAATCATATTTTCAACATAAATTCTGGAAATATTTTTTACCTTATTTTGGTATCTAGAGTCAAGTTCATGCTTGGCCATCAGATCTCTCAAAGTGCGCACGGCAGCTCGTCTCACTTGGTAGACCTCTTTGTTGAGCGCGTGCTGCACCTCCCGGAGCATCAATGCAGCCAGGAAATGCTGCTTGCAGAAGTCTTCGTTCAACTGGCCGGCGCTCCAGTTTTGTCCATTGTCTGTTGATCATTTAGAACATCACAAATCACCACTTGTATCATACAAACCTAATTTCTTAATCCTACTGGGTGATAAAGGCGGTGGGGCGAGTGGAATATTCAGTGGAATGAAGTGTTCGTGGCAGCAAACAGTGCCCAAGAATGAGTATTTGTACTCGCTCAACATGGCGTGCTCGCTCGTGTTGAACCTGTGGCTGTAGCGACCGACCATGCCAAGCACCACACCACGGTCCATCAAACTCAGGCAGCGCTACAATAAAATTTGATTAGTGGGAATCATTTTAAGGTTAATTAATTTTATACTTTGAGAAATAATGCAATACTGGTGTTGAGCTCCTGTGCCTCAGGTTTGTGGTCTTTGAAATTTGCAATGACACACGGGGCTAAGGAGTCCAACATTTGCCCTAGAGACAAAGTAAAATCTGCTGAAAAGCGCTCATTACGAAGCATCTGAAATTTATTCACATTAGTCGCTAGATTTTTTTCTGATTTAAATCAAAGTACCTTTATCCGTCCTGTGACTAGAAGGTGTTGGGCCATGCTCTTGGCCAAAATTTCTAAAAAGAAACCTGAGTGGCTCATCAGTTGCAGAGCCAAATGAATTTCGGTGGCTGCAATCGAGTCAAGAAGAGCTGGCATGTGGACTGCCAGTTGCTCATGGAGCGGTTGGTTGCTGTCACCAGCATGCGAGCTTCCGTATACGTACTAAAATTAAAAAAAAAAATAATAATAAATTTGGGCGCAAAAGTTGAATTTGGATTTTTTACTTTGACATAAGCAACAAGAGCATCGTGCCTGCCAGCGTCCTTCGTTTGAGTGACTATGTGTAGCAAAAGACGCATCGTGTCAATGCCGACAGTCCCGACATTTCCACATTTGGCCAATAAATTGAACAGCAAGTTCAAAATTGTAGGCAGAAAATTGAGAAGTGTAGAAATGTGTATCGCATGACCAGCCTGATAAGAAAAAAAAATTATATAGAAGTTAGATAATTATTATTTGAATGAAAAACCTTCAAAACTTTGGAAGTCTCCAGCTCGTTTGGCGGAAGTTGCACCGGTTTTGGCTCTAACAGTTTTTCAGCCTGAACAAACATGTTGTGCAAGTGGCCGTCTGTTGTTGCAAGAGTCGAGACCAGACGCAGGCCAACTCGGAATAACGACTTGTGTCCGTCCAGCCATGTGATTTCAGGGCCAGCATACTGAAAGAAGTTGGTTGTGAGAAATCTCCTGACTTAAAACATCTTAAAAGCAAACGCCCGCCAAAAATAGCAAAATCTACAAGACCGCTTTTGGATGATTTATGTACAGCTGGCTTGAAGCACTGTAGCGATCGCAAGATAAATTTGAACTGTACGATACCCAACGACTTACGCCCTTGCCCAGCCCAAGAGGCTTCACTGCCAAGTAGCCATCAGGAAGTGATGCTGCTATGGCTAGATCTTTGTCTCCAGTTTCAATCCTAAAATAAAAGAAATTTTAGCTTATGTAAATAATTAGAAAATTAAAATAATTTTTTTTTTAAATATTCATTTCTTTATCAAAGATGTCAATCCAGGAAAAAACAAGTATAATTATATTATTACCTTCCATCGGTGGATAGAGGCAACCATGCGTATCCAACGCTCGACTCAAGGCCAGGGCTGGAATTGCTGCCTCCCAAACTTGTTTTCTTGTTAGCATCACAGGTAATGTGATGAAATCGAAATAGCAAGTGATGCGTTGGACTCAAACACACAGGCAGACGCAGCTTCACTTCGGAGTACCAACTTGGAGAACGGTTGTGGTGCAAAACTGGGCACACAAATTGATCGACCAGAAGATCACTGCCCGGAATTTGATAAATGCACTGGAAATAAAATTTGAGCTTTTAAGAAATTTCCTCTGATGATGGATCAGGTTTACTTTGATGGCTTGAGTGTCTTCGGCGTCAGAATCGCGGAGTTCTACAGTGCAGGCCAGATTTCTAGCTTTGGCGAAAACTTTTTGCGCCTCAAAGCAGAGCTGCTTAGGGTACACATAAAGGTGGTGGCAGGGGACTGAATAGGGTTGTCGACCTGGCGTACCGGTCGCTAAATGATTCTCAAACTCAACAACCTCGATTGACGCAGCTGTTTCTGATGAGGGGTTGAATGGCTTGATGGGAGCTAGGGATGTTGTGAGCGAGTCTACGATAAAGCAAATTATCTCTAGCTGGTACAAAGAACGAAAGAATGAGTGGAAAACTTACTTTCAGGTGGGTCTGTAATAAAGGTGACGTTTATGTTCACTGTTGCTGGGATCGTGGTAAGTCGGCTCATTTTGTCAGGCCTGAAAATGTTTAATGACAATTCAAAAATAAGTCTTTAGAAAGTATCAAATCGGTTATTACTTTTTGAAGTCTTGTAGCATTTTCAGAAGCTCTTCATCATTTAGTTTGTTTGGTTCCTGGCGATACAAAGAAGAAAATTGTGCAGACATGTCTAATTGGCCGCTTGTGTGTCTAAATAGAGGCCGAGCAGCCCAAGCAAAAGGCATTCGGTACTTTCCTAATCTGTTCAAAAGAAAAAAATTAATCAAGACTTTTCAATAATAATTTATTCTTACTTTTGACAGCATAGTTTGGCCACTTTAAGTGCTTTTTGAGCAATTTTTGAGTCTCGTCCTGGTCGGATGTAAGGCTCTGTACTTTGGTTTATTGCACCCTGCAGCACTTTTTCCACTCTCAAAACCAAATAAACATCAGGGTGTGGATTAGTGACGCTCAAAATAGCCTTTGAAAAAACAAATTTCATTATCATATACATTTATTTTCAAAAGATTGAAAAAAGTACCTGATGCAAATTCTCCAAATAGCTGTGAGGTATGTTGTTCCATTCAGGAGGGTAAAATGACTCAACTCCATTTTCTTTGGTTCCGTTTTCCTCACCATTCTGCACCAGCATGGCTTTGGCTTCATCTGAATTAACATCAAAGTGAATGTCTTCAGTCAATTTCCTATTATCCTTGGCATCGAAAAGTGCCAGAATGAGGAAATATGGCTCAATCTGACAAGAAATAAAAACAATTAGTTTTCAATTTTGAAACGGTTCAAATCATTCCAAACAATACCTGAGAAATATTTTCATCTCCTAGTTGTGAATGCAGTTTCAAGGAAAAACCTTCACATTTAACTAAGAGTCTCAGCCCGAACTGTTCTCTGTAAGGTTCGGCGGTGGCATCAAGAGATTCTTTTTTAGCAACCTGTTTATATTTAAATCATTAATTAAAATGATCAAAAATTGTTTTCAAAAAATACAGATTCAGGTAGGTGGGGGCAGACAGCAAAAAGTCTGCGTCGGTTGTCCTGCCTTGCGGCTGCGATTGACGAGTCTGTCTCTCGAGAGTACCTGACTAGCTCAGGTATCATACTGTTTTCCAACCCCTTCAGGGTGCCAAAGGACCATGTGTGCGGCGAAGGTGAAGCAACTGACTCTATTTTATTATTTATCCCGTTAATCTTCTCATCAAACATTGGAAAAATAAACAAAATGTAATACCTCTCTCTGTAAGCTTTTTATCGTCGTTTTGTTTATTTTGCGCCACGATTAAGCTCAAGGCTGCAACCCAGTCGTTCATTTCAGCCTCGGTCTCGGCAGCAAAACAGACCACCTTTGTGCCGCTGCCAGACGAGCTACCAGCGAACTTGAGCTCAAAAGCAAATCGCCCTCTCTTGGGGTTCTGTCAGAATAAAAAAAAATTAAATTAGGAGTGTTGAAGAAACAAAAACTGGGAATCCCAACCTTGACAACTTCAGTACAAAAATCCATCACAAAATCACTCTTCGGATCGCCCCTCTTTTCAGGTTTCTGCATTTCAAGGATGTACGTCCCGTCAACCTCTCTCCTATTATTGGTCAGTTGTTAAATGCAAACTTTTAATAGAGAGATTCAAATTACTTTAAATAACAGTAGCGTCTTTTGAAAGTTTTGGAGGCCAGGTTGACAAATATTCGTTCCTGGCCACTCTCAGGTCCCTTCAATAAGATTCCTTGTTTTGTTATGTCAATAGATCTATCAGATGACTAAAATGCAGAAAAGAATATCAATTTAACCTGCACAATGAGTAAAATTTTGAGTGTTTTTACTTCATCTCCTGCGTCGATGTCTGCGTCAATTTCATAAACTTCCTCCCTGAGTTCTTCAGGCTTGGTCGTTCTAAAATAATAAAATTTTAGGTTGAAAATTTGTAAATGTTTTTTATTTTATTCTATAGCAATGGTATGTGGTCAATTTGAATTTACTTTGGTAGATCATGGTAGGTGCCTGCATGACTGCTGTACTTGAAGTGGACAAGGTTCCAGTTGGTATTGTAGCTTCTGAGGCTCTCCCTCGCCAGAAGTGGGCTCTGAGCCAATTTTGCCAGCTGGTCCTCGCCGGCCACCACACATCCTGGCAGAGGTGGAAGCACGGTTCGAAATTTACGAGGCAGAATAACTTGCTGCAACACAATCAAGATTTAAAAATCTCTCTCGAGCAATTAAATTTTACAGCTTCCTCTGCCTACCGAAACATCGTCCGATGGATACAAAAGCAGCTCTCTTTGCGGGTCGTTCTGCAGCAGAGTCTTATTTTTGAGTATGAAAGCCTCGTATTCAATTGGAGTCACGAGTTCAGGTGCCGAGGACTGAAAACAAAAAGCACAAAAAATTGGGTGGGTGTCAATGACGAGTGGGATTCGTTGAGTAAAATGCCCCGATTAGGCTAAAAACTTACATGCGAAGATGTTTCTCGCACGACCTGCGACATCGTTTCGCGCAAATGCGCTGCCATTCCTGGCTTTTTGAGGGCCCTGGCGAATTTTCTTTCGCTCATTTTGCCAGCGGACGTGGAGAAGCGGCAAAATTTGCTGTCAGTCAGACTCTCACGCTCGCAGAACAAGTCGCATCATGATTGTGACAGTGATCATCGACGAGACCTTGGAGCACCTGCAAAACATCTATTGACCTTTACTGATGACATCAACTCGGCGAGGATGCGAGATAAAAACTACTTGCTGGAGAAAAGGCCATCAACATCAGCTGCTCCTACTCTAGACAAGAAAAGTAGTGAAGGAATGAAAAAGGGAGGCTCCTGAGGCTCCTCTTTGTTTATAGTACATAAAATGATTATGCCAACCTGAGGTGTGGCTTTTTGTACACAATTCTTTGAAGTAAACTCAATTTTAAAATAAATTAATATTTAATTTAATCTAAAAAATGTTAAAAAAACTAAATTTACTTTATTTTTCAAAAATAATTGGTTTAAAACTAAAATCAATTGTATTGTAAGCTTTGGAATGTTGGTACTGATCCCGCCAAGGGGGCTTTGGAGTGACATGAATGAGCGTGAGCCGCAAAACTGTTTGGCATTCTGGCATCTGTTTCTGCTCGAGCTTCAAAACATTTTTCTGAACTTGTTTTTCTCGCAAAATTTTATGGTACACAGCCAATTTTTTAACAATTTTGTGACTTCCGAGACGAGATTCTACAAAATTTAAGCGGATATTGAATTTCTAATTTGACGGTAGAACAAGATCTAATTTTTTTAATTTATTTTTTTACGACGTGGATAATTTGCGTTCTCATTTCACTAAACCCGGCGTATTTTCTTCCCAGATTGATTGTGTGGACCAAAAATGTTAAACCAGGCGGCGGCTGAGGCGCTTTACTCGGCCACGTACGTAGAAAATTATCTGGACTGCTTGGAAAATCTCCCAGATGATCTCCAACGCCAGCTTTCTCGTCTGCGTGAACTTGACGCTCTTTACCAAGGTGAAAGGTTATTTTTACTTTTAATTTTTTCAAACTAATTCGTCGTATTTACAGGATACACCGATGAACTAGGAGAGCTGACGGAATCGTTCAAAAAAGAGTCGGACGGAGCGGCGCTGCGGAAACTGCAGACCCAAATGCAACAGACTTTGATTAGGGCGCAAGAAATCGGCGACGAAAAACTGCAGGCGGTCAACATCCTGCAGGAGCTAATCGAAAACCAAGCTCGACTTCTAGAGACTGACTCAAAAAATCTAGGTATAGAAATAATTTTGATAATAATTATTTTGTATTTATGTAACTTGTTGGTTCGTAGACTTCGGTAAGGATCAGGAAAATACGGAACCAAGCAGTAAGGAAATACCTAGTGGTCCAAGAGAACAGACAAGTTACTCAAGCAGCTCAAACGTTACCACGATGGCCGTTGTCAACTCGGCCAGCAATTCCGAAAGGCAGTCGAAAAGAGCTCGGAGGTCAAGAGTTGAAATTGTGGAGGAAACTTACACCAGCATCACTATTCAAGTAATACAAGAAATTAACTTTTTATATGGAAAAAAACTAATGCTAAATCTGGATAGCAGACAAGCTCCACCACAGAGAGGAATGTTGAAACAAGAGGAAATTCGTCCGTGTCTGAAAACTCAAAATCAAATTCCGGAGGAAATTCGGGCGGCATGAGTAGCAGCAACGTGAATCAACGAAAACAGACCAAGAAGAAAAAGAGGAAAGCAAAGCAGGAGAAAGAGCAAAAGCAGCAAAAGAGGCAGCACCAGCAGGATGACTCTCCTCAGGTTTGTAAAATAACAAAAATTTCAATTTTTGCATAATTCTAATCCATATTTTTTTTAAATTTCTTACTTTTATTTCATCAAAGTAATAAAATAATCAATCATTAAAATTTTCATTGCAGGAGATTCCGATAGATCCGGATGAGCCGACGTACTGCCTTTGCGACCAGATCTCATATGGCGAGATGATTTGTTGCGACAACGATCTCTGCCCCATAGAATGGTTCCACTTTTCTTGCGTCTCACTCAGTTCAAAACCCAAGGGCAAGTGGTTCTGTCCCCGCTGCCGAGGTGACAGACCCAACATAATGAAGCCAAAGGCTCAATTTCTCAAAGAACTGGAGCGGTACAACAAGGAGAAAGAAGAGAAGGCGTAATTTGAACTTTATTTTGAGAGGTATTTTAGCTGTAAATAAAATCTAATAATTAATAAACTGGGATTTTTAAGAATTCAAATCTCGCTATTGCTTAAACTTTAAACTTTATTTCCGAGGGCATAAATAGCAGACAAAACTAAACTTAATTAATCCACAGAAGTCTCTTAATCGACCTAATATTTTGTACGGAGGCGGTGACGGAGAGAACTTTCGCACTTGAAAGTCAAATCCCTCAACCGTCTCTGAAGATGCTCGCAAAATGGAACATTCACTTCCAATTTTCAAACATTTCTACACTTTCACCAGTCCTGGCATTTTAAAGTTTTTAAATTTTATCAACGTCCACCACAGTCAGATTTACGGGAATCATTTCTTCCGACGAGTCATCCTCCATAGTAACATTTTTCAATGTTGTAGTTGTCGGTCTAGGCGTTGTTGTTGTTGCGGGCGACCTTTGAACTTGATACTTTGTTGTTAACTTTTCGTAGCTAAATTTCACTTCAATTAGGATTAAAATATTCTTTGGTTCAAAGCTAGGCTATACTTAGTGGTTCTGTTGTTGCTGATCAAGTCTGATCCGGGAGGCCCTGATTTGTGTAGATAGGCAACTGGCAAGAGTCGGCCCTCCCTGTCGTCCATGCGGCTGTTTTGGTATGGCCAGTACCTTTCACTGCATGGTCTCCATTGCAGTTTGGACATTCCAACATAGCACCTGGGGAAAATCAGCCAAAACATTTATTTTTTATCAAAGAAATTAATTATAAATTTACAAATTTCAATTTTATATTAATCTTTAACTTAAAATTCCTTAACAAAAAATTTATCTTTTCTTTTTTAATTATTATATTACCAAGGCATTTGCATCCCCTCCGAGTATCCACATCTGTGTGTCGGGCTGCAGCAGTAGTCCCAGTCCTTGCCGTTGTTGGGGTCCAATGGACACGACCAGAACTCGGCGTTAGGGTCCATTCTGCAGACGTGACCTGCCGCGCACGGCTTTCCACTGACCGTAAAGGCCATCCCGTCGCCTCCTGCTAAACCTCCCTGAGGATAGCCGCCGATCTGGTTGCTCTGTCCGGTGAAACCTCCTCCGTAGCCGCCGCCACCAAAGCTGCCAGAAGTTGAAGTCGAACCTCCGTAGTTCGATCCACCACCGTAGTTTGACCCAAAGCTCTGCTGGGTCGGAGTGTTTCCGTAACTTCCGAAGCTCGGTTTTTGAGGGTTACTCAGCCAGTTGTTATTTTTATCACGGTCTATTTGCAGATTGTGCTTACTTTTCAATTTTTTTTTAAAATTAAAATTATTTACCATTCCAAGGTCCGACGCTGTTTGACGATCCGGACGCTCCGGGCAGTCTGCACCTTTCGTCCGACCAGTCCCAGGCCATCAAACGCCACCCCTCCCCACTTGCTTTGTCCTCTTCGTGCAAAAAGTCTGCGTTAGGCTTCAAATCTCGCTGGGCCAGTTCGCTCAGCAAGCAATTGTGTCCTTGAACACCAGCTCTAAAATATTAATTTAAAAAATATTAAAATCCAGCAGGAAATGCTCAAATCTTAAATAATAATTTATAACGCAAGTTTTTGTGTTCCGCTAAATTATCAGAATCTGATATTGTTAATTTTTTGTAGTTTCCCGGGCCGATATAGTTAGGTGTTGAATTTCCAAGCGGTTGGCGTATCAAATTGCGATATGATTTGAAGTGAACTTGCCTGTAGGCAAGGGAACGGCACGGCGTCTTCCACTGCTGAAGCGAATTGGTACATCTTGATAGGCAGTCGGACAAGGAAGGCGCGTGTGTAGCCACTGTGACCACGTTGGCCGCAAGACGAGCCGATGGCCAGTACTCGGCGTAACAATCTAAAAGTGAAAATTTAATTTGAAAAATTATATTGTTAATTAAATTAATGTATTTTTATATTATAATTTTTTTTAATTTTTATAATCCAAGTTGAATTTGAATTTGAGCAAAAATAATACATCTCAAATTTTACTCAAAATAAAAGTTAGAAAAAAATTTAGGAGGAAAAGTCCCTTAGTTTTTTGTTGTATTAAAAAAATATGTGCGTATTTACCTTGTCCAGTTGAACCTTGCAAATTAGGTCTTTCATGCACTCCAGGCATGGGTTGCGCCAGCAGCGGTGGCAGAGGGTCGTTGTCGTTGCCTCCTCTGACAGGGGTGCTCGGACCCACTGGCCATGGCGTTGAAGGCGGGTACGGCGGAATGTGCTCGCAGCCTCTTCCACTCAGGATTCGCTCATAAATCTCAAACTCAGGGTCAGGGACCATACCCTCGCGAGGGTGCAGCTCCTGCATCGGTCTGTCGGTTAAAAGGCAAGAGTCGCCTGTGGTGCCGGGAGGACCGTGTCGGTAGCTGAAGGCGCGGCACACAAAGTCTCTGGCCTGCAGACACTCCAGTTGGCAGCCGCCCAGGGATGGGTGGTTCGACGTGTTCCTGATGGCCAGTTTGTCCAGTCGCTGTCCACTCCAAACTCTTGCAAAACACTCATCTGGCAAAAAAAAATTGTTTGCAATGTTTTTTTTTTGTAAAAACAAAAAAAAATATTTACTGTCCATTTCTGAGAGGGAAAGACATAAAAAAATTGTAATTAAAATTTAGATTTCCATGGTTTTAAATTATTATACATGTAGAAAAAACATTTTAAAAAACACAAATTTTAATTTTGCAATGTAGAACATTAAGAAATATTAAATATCTTAGTTATGAATTATTGTACGATACTAATTTAATTATTTTTTCTCTAAGTGATAATTTTTGTTACCATCATTTGCATTCCATGGACCGCCTGGAGGTCCTCCAGTGGGTGGCCTCTGAGGGCCATATGCTGGTGGTGGAGGTGGCGGAGGCGGTTCTCTATTGTATCCTCCGCTGCCGCCCCCGAAGTTGTTGTTAGAAGGGCCGCCGTAGAAGCCGAGGCCGGTGTTTTGATTGTTGTTGTTCCAGCCTCCTGGGGTAGGTCCTTGACCCTGATTGTAGCTCGGTCTTGTAGGAGGTGGTGGACCCTGATTGTACCCTGGCCCAGGAGGAGGAGGAGGAGGAGGCCCTTGATTGTAGATAGGCCCAGGAGGGGGTCCTTGATTGTAATTAGGACCGGGAGGAGGTCCTTGATTGTAGCCAGGCCCAGGTGGACCCTGAAAATTAAAAGTAGGATATAATATATGTATATGTTTAAAAAAATTAATTCAATCTTCAGATAGTTGAATTATGTACTTTTATTAATGAAGTGTTTAATATAAATTCAACATTTTGTGTTTGAATATCTTAATAAATATTTTAATTTAAATTAATTAGTTTTTATATAAATACCTGAATTTGTGGTCGGTTGTTTCCTCCGAATTGCGACGACGTGGAGAACATTTGCCAATTTCCGCTGTTTCCTCCTCCATAATTACTGTTGCCTCCATAATTTGGTCCCGAGGGAGGTCCTGCTGGTCTTCCTGGGCCGCCAGGTCCGAACGGATAGGGTGGAGGGCGCTGCTGGTTGTTGGTATATCCGCCACCGTTCGGAGGTGAAGGGAGATACGTCCCTGAGCCAGGAAACCTGGTACCACTGGCACCACTGCTTGAAGAGGAAGACGAGGATGACGCAGGGCCGCACTGTGGAGAACCACCTTGCCGCTCAAAATAGTCAAACTCTTGGTCTTCGAAGAAATTCTTCAGCAGACTTTCACCCAGTCTGTGCGCGGTCACGTCAGTCAGTTCACAACTGCCGCGTCCATTTCCTCTGTAGTCAATTCTGCCAAAAAATTAGAAAAATGAGTAATGATCAATTTTTGTAATAAAATTTTAAGTTTTAATTTAAGTTAAATTTAATATAATATATTTTTTAATTTTTGCCATACATTGAATTTTATTAATATTTTAACAAATTAGAAAAATAAACAAGTTAAAATAAATTATTTTTTATTTTTTAGTAGAAAAGAAAATAAATATTTCATTTAATTGTTCTTTTAAATTCCTACTCCAATGCATCAACAGAGATAGAAAAAGCAATATTAAATTTTATAATTCTTGAACTGCTATATTTTCCAATAACATAAACTGAAATATTTCAATTTACTTCATTGCCTCTGCTGTGTTCACCATATCAAATTCATAATTACGCTATTTTACCTCAAATTGAAGCCTTCGCACAAAAATTGCCGTTCTCCAAGACACGCCTGCTCGCACTCTTGGGCATTACCGACTGGCATTGAGCGTCTGATGGAGTGCGGGGCCACCTTTTTGCCGCTGAACAAACGGCGGAAGCAGCCTGAAAAAACACAAGGAAAAATTCTTTTGATAAAATTTCTGCGCACCCATATCAAATCACACAAACACCTAACACTTTTTATTTAATTGGTTCCCCCAGAACATTCTACAAAGAAGGAAAATTACGGTCTTGACCTGAAACTCTTATTTTTCCAACCGGATTTTTAAATTAAACACCGAGAAGAAAAAGAAAAAGATCATTTGTATTCTAATCGAGTAAAGATTTTCCACCGTTTAGAGATTGAAACAAAGCCTAATTAATTTTGAAACGTCTCTTGTATGCGGCGATAAGAACGCGTGAGTTGTGGTAGGGTTTTGTTCCCTAGAGCGTGCACCTTGGTTTACATAACGCAATTTTATGCTCACAAAGCATTTGAAGAATAAAAAAAAAATACAAATTGTAATTAATTATTCATCTCGAGAGGCGCACGTCAGTCTAATTGCAATTAGCGTGAGAAAATCGTCGGTCGTCGCAACGCGCATATTTCACCACCCCGTATATTAATTTGACGAGAGAAAGAGATTCAGATCTCTCAGTGCTTTATGCTCAAAGAAGAACTACCGAGAATTTGCTCATCGCGTATTATTATGCAGATTAAAAAGAGGAGTTCTGAGAAATATTCATAATTTGTTTTCGTAAGGTCTGGTGAGCAGATTAGGAAGCTTTATTTTTAATTCCATTTACCGCTGAAAAAGAAAAGCAAATAATCGACGCGGATATATGCGACGGATCTATTGGGATGAGCAGAGGAAAAAGTGTTTATTTATTTCCACTCATGTCAAATATTTGCCGGCGTGTACAGCAAGGCCGGATGGTTGGAATTATGAAATGTAAACGATACGTTCCACGTTGCGAAATAGTGTTTCCGCGAATTGTTCTCAAATGGTAATTTGTTATTGTTACACTTGCGCTCGACTATGTAAGCTGAGCGGCGCCGTCGAGAGTGGCCGAGCCAAGAGACGATTTAATGCTAATATAAGACCATTGAAAAGTGCGCGCGGAGTTTTTGAGCAAACCTTTCCTTGTCTCATTTGTGTAAGAAAATTTACAATTTTCTATATTAAGGAAATCAATCTTTTACAATTAGCATTATTCCATTTCAATGTTATAACAAGTCTGGGCAAAAGTGAGAAATTTTAATATCATTATGCTAGGAAAGATTAAAAAATTAAAAATTAATCAAACATCTATTCTGATCAATTTTTTATACCAAAATTCAGCAGTTTAAGCGTGATTCCAATAACTTTTTTTTTATATTTTCTGTATTATTAGCTCACATATTAAATTATAAACAAAAATGTGAGAATTCAAAGATAATAAGATTTTTAACGTTATAAACAATATAAACAATAAAATTATATATAATCAATCATCAAATCAAATGATGCCAATACAATAATTAAGGGAATCGTTGATCAATCATTTTGTCAAACAGTCATCAAACACTAGCTGTGTTGATATCCAGTTATTTAAACAATAGGTTACAAGTATTTTGCAGTAAAAAGTCGGAAATAAAAGAAAAGTTTGCAAAAAATAAAAAAATAAAGAAAACATATAATATTTTTAATAAATAAAAATATAAACGTTGTAAAATTTTAGTTTGGACTTTTAATTTTTAAAAAATTATAAAAGTGTAATAATTTTTAAAACATGGCAAGTTTATTTAATAAATTTTATTAAATATTACAAAATAAATAATGTGTTTTAAATTTGGTATACTGTGTTCTGAACGAATTATTTTCTCTGGATTTATGGAGTTAAAAATATTTGTACCAACAAAATTTGTTTTATGCTCAGTCCTACGTTTTATATATTACAAAACTAAATGTATATACAATAAATATTTGTTTTAAAAGAATAGAGCGGCGTACATATTTCATAAAAAAAGTAGAGCGAAGTTGAGCAAAAGAGCAGTTTAGCAACTCACACTGGTACGCTTCCTCGACGATGATAATGTTCCTAGGACCTTTTTGGTAATGCGGACTGCGAAAGTGCGACGCTTCACTCGCACCCAAAACCACGACCAGCCACAAAACCAAAACCGGCGGACACTTCATTTTGCAGAGCATGGCGGCGCCTGCACGATCTTCGGGTGCCGGCCGACGAGAGTATAAATAAATTAATTGAAGCGCATTCCCTGCTACTAACTCTCTCGGGCAAGATTTTGTAAACTTCAGGTGGGGATCGCACAATAAGAAAGGCTTGCTTTCGTTGCACTTTGCGATATTGCACGCCACTCTCGCAGGATGCAAGGTGGTAATGGCTAAATGCCTCTTATTTCTGTGCCTAGTTAGTCGCAGATTAACCCTTTTTTCCTCCTCCCGCCCACGCCACTGGCGACATTGACAGTCAAAAGAGGCAAATTTGCGTGCTTAATTATACATGTAAAAAAAGCACACACACTCACGTAGTTAACCTTTTTAAAGGGTTCGTCATCCGTACTTTGTCAAGCGTCAACCAACACTGACCTTGCCCATTCAAACTGCAAGGATTCGCTTCCCCGAATTGCATCACACGCGAAAAACACATCCAGAGAGAGACAGATTTCTGCCATTTACAAAGTGCTTAATTAAAGAGCTGCTGGAGGATTTTTATAATTATATGACGTGTTCGTGTCTCTTTCAGGGAATTGACCTTAACGGTTTAATAACAAAGAAAGAAATTCTCGCAAGAAATAAAGTTATTATTTATTTAAAACAATTTAAAAGAGAATTATTTGCATGATATTTTATCACCTTGGACATTTCTTAAACACCAAAATGTAACAGCCAATTACGGGGAAAAATTACTTTATTAAAAAGTTGCCTTTAATAATAATTAAAACGAATTGGGTGGTGCCTTCTGCACCACTAATAAAGGGCACAGGGCGACAAGACTTTGTCTTGGCCTGACCCTAAAAAAATTTATCACTTACAACAATGCTAATCATAGATAGATCAATAAACATAATTTGCAACTAATCTCACACAAGATAGATTTTTTTTGTGCTTGGCAATTACCAACAGAATATTTCTCAAAATTTTCATTCTATCGCAGTGATTTCGAAAATTCTTAAGAAAGCTCTATAAAAAATTCATTCTAAAATTTTTAAACATCAACAAAATAATGCAAGTTTGCAAACTGCATTTGATAAACACCGAAGGATAACACTTCATAATCGAATCATCCCAATTTCTGGGCGCGAAGGTTTTTTATGATAAAAGTTTTTTATTCTCTTACAATTAAATCAAACTGTTTTTTTTTTACTCAGCCATTTCAAAGACGTTTTACATTTAATAAAGTTAATAAAGTAAAAATATTTAGAGTAAATATTTTAATTTTTTTTTTTAATTACTAGTGTTGTTAATATCAATACGAAAATATTCCATTCCCTTTATTATTGCATTTTAATTTTTACTAATTGTCTATTTTCGAGTCTCTAGTTTCGATAGAAGATTTTCAACTTTTTAAGTATTATTGATTACTCGTACAATTCTTACGTTCATATTGTTTACATTTGTGAAAATAATTTGTGTCAAAGCATAGAAAGAAAGATAAATTTGTATTTATTGCTATTGTACAAAGACCACAAGAAAAGATTTTGCTGAAACTTTTGAGATAAAAAAAGACACCAACCGCGCCAGTTGATTTAATTCTTTTTTCTCAAAATTTTTTTAAATGTCAAAATCAAATGCAGGGATGTATGAATAAAATACCGTTAAAAATATGAAAATATAATTTTATGCAATAAAATATGACTTCATAACACATATTTTATTGCTTTCATAACAATATTTTACCATAAAAATGGATTTGTTGTGGTTTAAAAATTTGTAATTGGCGTGCATACGTTAATCTGTTCAGCCCTGTCGCAGCAAAATTATAAAATTAAACAGGAAAGACAATTTGAATGCGAAACAATGAGCGCACACAAACTCGTCAATTAACAAATTGCAGCGTGCCGCGCGAGCCGGAAAATGCAAATTGCGTTTCGTCGGAGAGCGTGTCGGCCGTCGACTGTCTGTTGTTGCGGGGGCGGCCCGAATCGGCTCCAAGGTGAATCGGCCGACGCTAATGCGAGGCGGCGGCAACCGAAAGAAAACAAAATAAATTGCAATCACAAGAGCCAAGGCTGCGTACTTCATCAATTACTCTCGCGGTTTCTCGTCTGGTGCGCGCCGACGTGCTCAAAAAGTGCATCTGACGAGCACCGCAACGTGCTTTTATTTATTATTATTATGTCCACAGATGCTGTCATCTCGGCGGTGTGTTTTGGGAGGCGCGATGAGTGAGCAACGAACTTGGTGCGCACTTTCAATTTCGGTGCTCACCATGCGTGCAGTCTCAATTTTTAAGTTCGTGACATTGAAAATAATAAACAATTTTTATCAAAAAAATATTACAATTCAACGAAAAGTTCCAGAATTTTTATCAACTATCAACTTTTGCAAAAACTCAATTTATGGCATACAAAATTGAGTTATTGGAAGAAATGGATCCTTAATTATCTCTTGGAATCACACAGATCTTATTTTAGTATGTAAACAGCAATTTTGATATAATTCAATTAAATGAAAATAGTGGATTTATTCCTACTTATTAATGATGGACTATTACAAAAGCTACAAAGCTGAGACTAAAACTTTGCTTAAGTCACCTTTTAAAAAATCCATCAACCATGTCTTATTTTATATAATATTTATAAAAATGTTAATAAAGTGTGTAGAAATTTTAAAATGTGAATTACAATTTTTTTTAAAAATAATCATAAAAAAATTTAAAATTAAAACAAATACATGATAAAGTTTTTTTTTAATTTTTTTAATATCTTATTGTGCATAAATTATAAATCTTTAGTAAAAAAATTATTTATAATAAAAAAATTTAGTTAAACAACTATAATGCACGTCATCACATTACAGAATATTTAAAAAAAAATATTTTATAAATATTTTCTACCTTGGTGCAGCATGTTTCAGTCGCCAATTATTTCAAATATTTTTATTGTTTACTGGTAATAA